CTCCGGAGGCGTTTTAAATCAAATTATCCGACCCGTGCTAATAGTTGGCTGTGTGAACCGGACCCCCTGCCCTCCCCCCGCTATTCTACTGCCAAACTTTGCAAGGCTGCCCGTTCTTGCCCATGGACTAGCGCGCAAGCCTCTGGCCAGCTGGGTGCCCTTTTCTGTTTTGCCCCGTCTCAGCCGCTGGCAGGGAGGGTTGACCCTCGTGGGCCTGAAGGTCTGCTTCCGTTTCAGGTCTCCAGCTGCCCCACTTCGCCTGCAGCGCTGGGGCCTCCCAGCCCCTCTACCCTGGACAAGAGCACGAAGGAGCTCGTGAACGGGGTCCTCTCCCCCCGACTGAAGCCGGAGGCGGCCTCGGTGGCTGCGGCTGGGCCAGGGGAGAAGGTGAGCCTTCCTCCCCTCCTCCTCTCTCAGAGGCGGAAGATACCTGGGCACACGGAGAGAGGAGGGGTGCAGGGGGAGCCACAGCGATGCCAGAATTCCCCTCGGATATTTAGCATTATCCATTCAGCAGAAGTGGATCAAACGTTACCTTCGTGCCTGCCCACCAGGCAGTTCCTTTTCTGGCAAGCAACGTCTTGCGCGGCACAGGATAGGTGTGAAGAAGAGCTGGATAAAGTAAAGGCTCAGGCTGAGCTAAAAGCCACCGATGCCAACCCCGCTCACCCTACCTCTCTGTATCTGTTTCTTGGCCAGCTGTCCTTACTCCCCCTACCCCCACCCCCCGTGTCTGCATGCAGCTCCCTGCACTGCCTTTTCCCTGAGGCCAGGGTGTTGCAAAGGGGGCGGGGGGCACCATTTCTTTGCACACTCCTAGCCTGGCACGAGAGGAGGAGATGGGCAGCTGCCTTGCTGAGATCGGTTGCCTTCTGCGCAGGACGCATCCAGACAGCAGCTCCTGGAGCTGAGAGGCCGGCTGGGGAAGATCCACGGCCTGGTGCAGAAGGCCCAGGGGGGAGCCACCAGCCTGGAAGCCAGCGGCGACCTAAAGAGCCGGCTGCGACGGGCCCGGCTGCTGGAATCCAAGATCCGCGAGAGGAAGCTTTCTCTGAAGGAGGAAGCGGGGAGGGTCTCTCGACTCCAGCAAGAAGAAAAGGATCTCGAATCACCGGCAGAGATCAGGTGGGAAAATACCGTGGTCGATCGATCAATCCAACCCGAGGCAGAGCTGGGGGCCCTAAACCTACTGTTTGGAGGTGGGGTGTGTCACACCCATGATGTGTTGAATAACCCACAACTGGTTGGCTCCCCAGCATGCTGGCTGGGGAATTCTGGGACTTGAAGTCCGCACAACTTAAACTCGCTGAGGTTGAGGAACGCTGGCTTAGGCCGTAAAGTAGCGTTCCTGTAATCTGTGCGGCGTCTGGTTCCTCGAGCGGCCCACCTGAGAGGGCTGACAGCAGGCTTGACCGAGAAGCCCCCATCTGAAGCCTGTCCCCTTCTTGCTAGTGAGAAGGTGCCGGCCTACCAGCGCTTCCACACCCTCGCGCAAGACGTTGCCCCTGGTCTGCTGCTGCCGTACAAGTACAAGGTGCTGGCCGAGATGTTCCGCAGCACCGACACCGTCGTGGCGATGATGTTCAACCGCTTGGAAACGGTGACCTTCGCCAAGGTCAAGCAAGGCGTGCAGGAGATGATGCGCAAGTGGGTTTCCTTTTTTCCCAGTAACGCTAACGCAGAAATGGCCGTCTTTTGACTCGGTCCTCCTAGCTGGGGGAGGAGATCAGCTGCTGGGTTGGTCGGACTCCTGGACACTGACCTGAGCTCTGCGTGGCTTTGCCCCTAGGCCCAGGACCCGGAGCTTTCCCTGGGGCTTTTTCAAGGGCACCTGTCAACGTGGGGCTTGCTCTGGGATTGACCGTTATCTTCCAGATGGCTGATGTTGCCCGCTAATCTCCTCCTCGTCCTGTAGGCGGTTTGAAGAACGGCACGTGGGGCAGATAAAAACGGTGTACCCGAGTTCTTACGTTCTGCGCCAAGAGAGAAACGTTCCCACCTTCGGCGGAGGGGACAAGCAGAGCACCTACCAGCTGACCATTGAGCCGATGCTGGGAACAGGTGCGTATGGGGAGCAGGCCACCTGCACCACACAGAAGCCTCTGAGCACCCGGGAGGGGGCAGGCCCCGCCAGGAGCAAAGGCAGAAGGCTGCCTCCTCCGGTCCTCGAGTTCCTTTTGCTCGATGCGATGGAGCTGCCGGCTTCTCCAGGGGAAGCGGGTCCTGTTCCCGGGAGGAATTCGAACCACCAGGAATCCAGAAGGGCCATTGCTACGGAGCCACTCCAGAGCTGCTCACAGCTCTTGTGTGTGGGATCTTGTTCTTCTTACTTTGGGAGTGTTTCATGTGAGTTTGAGAAGCCACCCGGCCAGACCAAATTGGAAAGATTTTCTTTTAATGCCCCCATTCGTAGAATGAGTGCCTCCCCAGAGAGGGAAATAGGGAGAAACGCAGGTTGGGTTTCACTCGTTGCCAAACCAGCTTCCTTAAAGCCCCGGTGCCCGTGTTTCTGCAACCTGCTAAGTATGTTCACGTTAACCTGGTTTGGTCTTCACGCTTGGCAAAATGAAACGTGCCGTAATTTACACGTTGCGTGAGCTCGGCCACGGGGTTTGCATGTCCTGTGCCAGATGGGAGGGGGAAGCAGCCAGGAGCAGAATGCCCTGGGCACTCTTCCTTCAGCAAGAAAGCCTTTTTGCTGCTGTCAGAAAACGAGGACCTGCCTGCCAGTGTCTGTCCCGATGCTGTTCTGCCTGCTGAGGGCTCCAAGCCTCTGCACATCCTGGGGCCACCCTCTTCCTTGCTCCCCTAAAGCGTGCGGGAGGGGTATCCCAGGTTAGCCTTGCAGCTGACCCTGGCAAGCTGGGTGGGATTGCCGTAGCACTTTCTCTTGGGTGCTGATCCGCTTCTCGCTTCTAGGCGAGAAGCTGACCGCGTCCCGGCTGATGGAGCGCCGGACCACCTTCTGCAGGAACTTGACAGCCATCGTCAGAGAGCACCACAAGGCAAGCGCTTCTGGGGCGCAGCCTGGCCACCCCCTCTGGCTCGTGGGAGGACGCCGGGGGCAGGAATGGGGCACTGCCCAAGGGTTGACTTGCGCTGGGTCTCCCCCTAGGCGTTTCTGGCTTCTCTCAGCCCTCCAATGGTGATAGCGGAGCAGGACCTGACGCGCTGGCACCCTCGGTTCCGAGTAGACGAAGTGCCTGACGTTGTGCCCGCTGAGGTGCCCCAGCCTCCCCAGGTGGACAGAGTTAGCACGGCGCAGGAGGTGCTGGCCAGGGCTCATGGCACGCTGACACCCAAGGTATGGCGGAGAATGTGGAAGAATGGAGGTGGGTGTGTTTTTGCCCCGGTTGGCCTATGCCAGTGTTTCTCCACCTTGGCCACTTTAAGATGGGTGGGCTTTGCTGGCTGGGGAATTCTGGGAGTTGAAGTCCACCCATCTTAAATGGCCAAGGTGGAGAAACACTGGCATAGGCCAACCGGGGCAAAACCCCCCCCACCTCCATCCTCCCACATTCTCCGCCATACCTTGGGTGTCAGCGTGCCATGAGCCCTGGCCAGCACCTCCTGCGCCGTG